GGATCCAACGCAAGGTTGTGGACAACCGCCAAATGGGTTTAGTTGTTGGTTAATATAGGAGTTTTTGTATTACTTTTTGTTAATTATTATTAACACTATGTATGAATGAAGAGTTGAAATGACATGCTGGAACACAAAAGCACATGCTCAGCTGGCCAAATAATATTTCCAAGCAGGCCCCTACCAGCCAGAACCTGACACCTTCGTAGTGCCCATACCAGCCCAGCCGTCGGAAGATATCGAGACACAGTCACCAGGTTTACGAAACCAGCGTGGAAAAAGATCGCTATCAAGAAAGGAAGTTAAAAGAATAGAAACATAGACTGAAAGTGTATCTTCTGTACTGTCAAAAACTGCATTTAAGTCCAGATCAAGCCTTGTTCATTGCACATTTAGCACAGTCGAGTGGATTTCCTCGTAAGAGACTTGTGTGCTTGCCGACGGTTCCACAATGTGTCTTTGCTTGTAACATAACTGCATTTTGTATTTGTAACAAACTCCTGTTCAGTGCTATGTCCTATAAACACTACGAACTGATTCCTTGCACATTTGAGAGTTTGCAGAGTGTAAACGTGCTTGCTGCAGTGCAACGTGTTGTTGTTGTTCTTCTTTCTCTCTCAAGGAAAATGGCAAACGGTTCCCTTAATTCTTAGACCTGGCTTTTGTTTTGTTATCCTAATCCGAATATTTATCTGTTGTATACCAACTCACACCAAAAGAAGAATTGCATGTGTTGTATATTTAGTAAAGACGTTTACAATCAGAATATAGTTGTTTTTCCAATGATATCAGTTGAAATGCAGTAGGAATTTGTTGCAAGTCTATGGACATAGAATAGTTTTTTTCATGTCTGAATTGCACATTGTGAATTCCACAGCCTTATGTTCTTATTTATTTCTGAATCAGAAGAGGCATTTTTCAATAAAACTACTGAAAATGTTTAATTGCTGTTGTCATTTGTTCTCTCGTCATTAGTACACTGCATTAAAAATGACATTCAGTTCCTAAACTCAGGATGCAGAATTGTGAATTGAAACTAAATTAAAAATTCTAAGAAATGCACACAAACAGCCAAAAGTCTAGCTTTTAATAATCCAGTTCATTTTTATGTAGGAAAAATTCATAGCCATGGACATAATCATAGTCAAATGGACCATCACATTTTCTGATTCACAAAAATTATAAATATATTTATGCCCAGGATCAGAAGTTCTGTGTACATTTCAGTGTAACTGAAAAAAAAAAAAATGATAGCATAAACTGGTGTTTACCTAAATACATTGATTTATACTGCCAAAACTATTCTTTATGGGTTAAATAAACTACTTAAGCCTTGTTCAGACTGTCAGCCCAAATCCGATTGAAATCCGATCATATTTAGATAGTCTGAACGGCAACGAACTGCATGAAATCCGATTTGTGCAAATCCGTTACGAGCTACATTCCTATGTGGTTTGGAATCCTCTTCAAATCGCATTCCTGGAAATCCGTTTCAGTCAGATCGGATTTAGCGTAGCTTTTTCACGTTCTCACGCCAAGTAAAACGTAAACACATCGGACATTTTTGTAGAAAACATAATAAATGTCTTTGCAGAAACATGCTGTGTGTTGTTGCGAACTGTCAAAGTCAAGCGGAAAACGACAATATAGCTACCGCTAGTATACTCACCTCTTTGAGTGTTGAAATAAAGTCACACATTCCAGCTTCCTGCGTTTCTGATGCTGCCTCATAAGACGAAATCCATCATAAAAAAAAATAATAATCCAGTGCGACTGCAACATGCTGTCATGTTGTAAGCCAGTAATATATGTAGGCTATTGCAAACTGTATTGCTGTTATTGTTGTTTTTAGCGTAGGCATAACAACGCAATGGCATTGCCATAGTAACCAACACACATTCAGTAAAACGAAAGAGCGCTTATGGACACACAAATCGGATATGAACAGTTGCGATACACTGTGTGGACAGTCAGTTATTCAAATCAGATTCCATCCGGATATGCACAAAATCGGATTTGGGCTGACAGTCTGAACCAGGCTAAATAGCTCTTCAAGGTAACAGCTGCAGGTTACCACTTACAGTGACCTCTATACAGTGGGGGAACTTTTATTTCCAAAGAAAACTAAAATGTGGAGGCGATCAGATGTTCTTGTAAATGCCAAAGACGCTCATTAAGATATGTTTTGTTCTGCTACATTGGAACTGTACAAGTAATCATTGTAAGAAATCACCATTTGTGCTCTGAGATTTATTTGACACATTAAAGGCAAACAGTCATTATTTGATATCTGATAGGAGGATATTTTGAGAAGGTTCTCCTCAAACATACTTCTGAACTGCTCGTCTGTTTCAGTGGATATCAAGACTTTTCGATCAAAGGAACATGGAGGAGATCTGAATAAATGAAAAGAGGGGGCAAGCTGCCAAATGTCTGGAATGCTGGATTACATAACCCTCCGTTTCTGATATTATACTTGCTTAGACACTGTTAAATGCAGAATCTTTCATTTGTTTAGTATTTTTCCTTGAAATTTCAACTCTGATGCTGTTGTCCACCACAGGAGTAAATGTTTTCAAGCCATATTTTTAACCATTTAGGGTGAAACATTACATCCAAACCACCATGGGTCTTTCTTAACCATAATTCCATTTTACTGACCTCTTCGTATATATAGTTTTTTCCAACATGAAAGTTCCAGCTTCTAGAATATCAACCTTTCTTATATTCAAGGAATGGTTAAGAGCCATCAGTCATTGAACAGTCTTTTTATAACCAGCCTATAACAAAGCAACAGGAGTTCATAGGAAAGCCCAATAAAAAGCCGTCTATTAGCCGTCTTATTCATACAGTTTTCACCAGAAACTCTAGAAACATCCTCAGTTTGTTGGCTTGTTCTAGCAGCTGTGAAGCCCCTCAAGGGCTCTCCTGTTTTCATGGTGTTTCCTCGAATACATGTGCTCTCAATTAGAGCTGATTGTTTTATGTGGGCTCTTAAACCTAACCTTAATCTTAAACCTAAAAAATCCTTTAAAAGCATTTGCCACAAATGGTCAATACCTCTGTGCACTTCCTCAACTCTTTCATCTGTTTCAAAGGAAAGCGCTTAACTTTGATCGTTTCACTTACTGCTTTTTTTTTTTTTTGATTCTGTCTAACTCATAAAATAAAAGCAGAGTACATTGCGTAATTATACTTTTAAAACCCAGATAGGAGATGTTTAGTCATTCAGGAGATTATGTCATAGAAGATGATTATCAAGTCAATTTTTCAATTACTGCAGCACGGTTTATGCATCCACACTATAGTACTATACATCCCATAATTGTGTGTTTAAGTTGCAGGATAATTGCGAGATTCTATGTTCAAATGCAGAACAACATGCACGTGTAACACGTCTTTAGGCTAAATATATAGCTCAGTTGTGAAACTCTAGTCCTGTACATGCAATCTGCAAACAATCACACCATTTACTAAATGGCACAAGCTAGTTAACCTCTGCTGATTCTGCAGCCAATGAAAATCAATGGTTTTCCTCTGAAACCCTCCACCTCCCCCAGCACCACCTGTCTAGATCTGCTATGGGCCTTATGCCTTTACTAGCAGCTGTAGCATGTGAAGAAGATCAAGTCCACCAAATGAAATGATGGCTCAGATGGAGAACAGCCTGGTGAAACATTTACTATAACACAGTGAAATCTGTGTATATTTATATCACATCAATAAATACATCAATCAATCAACCAACCAACCAACCAATCAATCAATCAAAACATACTGCAGAATACACGGCTACTTTTGAATGTCCACTTAATACAGTACATTATAAAATGTTGCAGATTTATATAGCTAATCAGAATCTGTGACATTTTTAAATTATTGAATTATTATTTTTGCTGTACTAACATTTTATTTCCAAGATGTACACAGAATAGTAAGGAAGTTCTATTAAAATACATAGTTAAAGCTTAATAAATGCTAAAAAAGATTAAATAAACTAAACAGATGGTTCATTATTTTGTCTTATCACTATCATTATTGTCCACTATAACTATCATTATGTTTCCAATGATATCAGTTGTATATCAGTATATATATATATATATATATATATATTTGCATTGTGTGGTTTTAATAGAATAGAATAGAATAGAATACTACAAACCTCAGCTGCTTGAACAAATAGCAATAGCAGTGCCATGACATTGCACAGATAATTCATCCACAATCTAACACGTCTGCTGATGTTCTCCCAGTTGTGTTTCTCTGAGGGATGAGCACTGCACAGAAACATGCTACCAAAAAATTATACTTTTTCTAGGTGGGAGTTCAGTCAGTTTACAAATTCCTGTCACAAAAGGATATATAATATTCCTAGCGTGTGTTTGAAATATAAAGTTTATCCCTCAGTCAAGATTTCGAAAGAAAATATTCTCATCTATAACTACAAACCAACATTTGGTGCCAAACTACCAAACCCTTTTGCGTCACAGTTTATTTTAAGACAATCCTACAGTACAACCCTGTTTCTTGCAAGGACAGTAACTTTACAATGTTAATAATTCTGACAGGGACTGTGTGCTAATAACATTCTTTCACTGAACATTTGTTAAAAAAACAAATATGCCGATAAAGGAAAAGTGCCAATCGGTGAATACACTCCTAGATGTTATGAGTGATTTTATATCTCTGGAGATCTCATTCACAAATATACAGCTGTGGCTTCAGTACATTTGTCAGAAGGTTGATGTCAGTTCTGATTAGCATCTTTCTCAGGGTTCCATATGAACATCTTATATCAGATCACATCAAGCCGTGCCTCATCCCTGATCATGAGCCAAAATATTTTAAGACATGATGTTAACTGAGAACCCAGGCATTATCAGAACATGCCTTCACAAACCATTTCAGAGGAAAAATAATGACTAGTGCTGATCAAGCATCATTATTGCTCATACTGTAAATATGATTTGATCAAATCTTTTCACCATTCGTGCTACAGACTTGTTGAGACGAATGCATGATTGCTTTTCTTGTAATAGGTCCGATTTCATTTGGCAGATAACAAAGTGAGAAAAAATATCACAAATATTTATAATGACCAAATAGGGACCACGATATTATAAGCAACCAACACCCTAGATGCTGCATAGCAACACACCAAAAATCTCAACACAGGCAAAAACTGTCCACTTACATTCTTCAGAAAATATACAAAACTAGTTGTATTACAATGACCTGTTCAGCAGACATGATTGGCGCTTTCCATTTCACGTCACATTTCACGCAGCTTGCCGTTGTGGAACTTTGCAACTATAATAGAATAAAATAGAAACTGTGCAGTCATGCCATGGCCAGTTTGACCCAGCTGGCAGTCTGTGGAAAATTCCTTTGACTTTAATCATGGCATCGAGGGTGAATCATGGAAAAGCATGTATCAGTATCTCTGGGAATCTAAACAGCATTTGATATATTTAGGTTTGACAGCGATATAAATCGCTTCTGCCTGGTTAGAAGAATGTACAGTGCTGGGAAGTAACTGATTACATGTAATCTGGATTACACATTTAGAAATATTAAGTACTTGTAATTGGATTATATTATGTTTTAAAATACTCATAATCAGATTACAGTTACATTTACATTTAGTGATTTAGTAGACGCTTTTATCCAAAGCGACTTACAAACGAGAACAATAGAAGCAATCAAAACCAACAAAAGAGCAATAAGATGTAAGTGCCGTGACAAGTCTCGGTTATCTTAACGCAGTACACGTAGCAACGTAGTATTTATTTATTTTTTATAATAAATAAAAAGAAAACAAGTAGATAGACTAGAAAAAGAATAGAGAACGCTAGTATTAGAGGGTCAAATTTTAAAAATAAATAAATAAAATGAAAGTTGAAAAACAGTAAAGGAATAGTGAACGCTAGTGTTAG